TTTTTTATATTACAGACTTTGGATCAAGTATGGTAACCTAGACTACTATAGAAACTCCAAAAAAATTCTCGTATATAATCCATTCATACATCAGTGAAAGAACCTTTTAAGTAAATAATGATATTTATTACACATCTCTTTTTTTCTTAGCCTGTGCGTGTCCCCTTAAGATGGTAATTTGGAAACTCGGTTCCCACTCATTCTCGGCACGGATTATACACCTGATATTACAACCCATTCTATCCTAAACTCTATAGTACACATTATATCAATTGAAAAGTGTTGAAGTAAAATTGTATCTTTTTCCCCTTCACAATGATTATGACAATTAAAAAAAGTAAAATAGTCCAACTAAATATCTTGTATACATTTTCCCAGATTTTCAATTTTTTCTAAATGACCTAATTCTTTTATAGACTCGAAAAAAAATTTTTTCTACAATACAACAAAAGAAACTAAATGTTTCTTTCCATCATCTCATCTTCTTTGTTCAATAAAACTTCCACAGGTAACTTCTCAACTTGGTAGATCATACAAATTGGACTCTACTTCACAAAAATAAAGAAATAATGTATGAAAGAATTCTGAAATGTCTTAGTAAATGAATATGAATTTTCAAAGGAAAAAATTATTATTTATTGGAACAATATAATAAATTAATCCAATTAAGAATATAATTCAATTAATCCATATAAGAAAACTTTTGTTGGACAATATATATTTTTAACTAAACACTTTCAATTATTAAGTATTTACAATAAATGAAACAATAGACAACAGATAAATCATAAGTAAAGAACAATTTTTATTATGTTGCTGATATCAACTGTTTAATTAAAGATAAAAATAATTCTTTAATAGAACTACACATGGGCAATAAAATTTACAATATATACAGATGATATCATCAATACAAATGCTAATTATCTAATCTGAAAATCATCAATCTAATATGATTATCAATTCAGCTCAAACGAGGATGTTATAATTTCCACACTAATATATGCTTTTATGAATATGAAGATTTTGTATTCGCTCTTCAAAAATAATTAACTACAAATACAATCGCTAGAGAGCAGGGTTGAAAATTATATTTGATAATTAGCATTTGTATTGGCGATATGTACAATTTAAATATCATAAATTATAACTTTAAAAGCTGAACCGCCCTCTTCATTCAGAAGAGTGGAAAAAAAAAAAAAAAAAAAAAAAACCAACTGCTAAATATACAAACAATAGGATATTTTAATTACTATAAAATAATGTTACATTTTTAAATAGATATAATCTTAACTAAAATGTATTTATTATGATAAATTTATATTCATTATAAATATCTTGTTTAGATATTTTTGGGTACTTAAGAAATGTTATTGTTATTATAAAAACTATATAAAAAGTTGTAAACTATGGTATAAAATAAGGCTGTGTTTTTACTTCACCACATTTATTTCCATTTTTGTACCGGCTAGTAAGCCATTTTATTTAATCATGCTTCTTAGAAAGAAGCGTGATTAAATAAAATAAAATGGCTTACTAGCCGGTACAAAAATGTAAATAAATGTGGTGAAGTAAAAACACAGCATTACTATATATTATTATAAATTATTTCACTTGAAACAAATAAGCACTAATCATTGTAAACTATGGTTGTCAGTCATAGATATTTTTAATACTCAGTTATTATGTCATTTATTGCATTATGAAAAATAATTTTTTTAAATAACTTACTTCAAAATAAGTTTAAGCCAAGCAAATAAAGAAAACAACACAAAAATTCTTTGTTTAATTAAAAAATATACATGGCTTTGTTATCTTTCTTATTCAAATTAAGATTATAAAAATAATTTTGATATAACATTAAAATAATCAGAATTTAGTTTTATAAATATAATCGTTTTTTTAAAAACATATTCAACAAAAATATATATGAATTTAATAGATACATTGATTAAAAATTAAAATGAAAAGAAACTACACGCCATTTGAATCCATCACAAGTTATTCTTGACCTCAGCTATGCATATCACCACTGTTACCATAATTAGAATTTAATTAATTGCTATTAAATAGAAGAACTTTACTTCTAGGGGATGACATTACTCTAAAGTTAGAATATGTTCCCTGAAGATATTTGCTAAAAGTAATTAAGTGAAAACAATTGGAAATTGTTTTGCTAAGTGGAAGTCAATTCTCTATGAAAGTTATTTCGAGAAATTGAAAACAAAAATGCAATTCTAGTTTTGGAGTGATGTTACCCACCGTGGTGTAAAGCTTTTCGGTACTTAAGTTTTACATATTGGGTTGTATAATATCATAATTAAACTATATAATTAACAATAATAGGTTTGACGAGAAAACAACCAAATACAATATAAAACAATATTTATTGAATATTATTATTATTGTGCGGAAAATAATGCAGGATTTTGGTTTACAAAGAAATATTTACAAGTATTTTATTTAATCAAAATAGTCTCCACTGCTATCAATGCAATTCTGTTTCATGTTGGAAACTTTCCCATTCCCTTAAAATAGAATTTCTTATCTTTAGAATTGATAAACTCCAAAAACACATTTTCTAATTCTCTTTTTCCATTAATTTTTTTGTTATTTAAGAAGTGGTCCAGATGTCTAAAAAAATTATAATCCGTAGGCAAGAGGTCTGGAGAATAGGGCGGTTGTGGCAGTTTCATATCCAAGCTCGAACAGTGTTTGTGTGACGTTACACGCGAGACATTTGGTGGGGCGTTGTCATACAAAATGGACCCCTTCCGATTGATGGCAAAGATGGCTTCATTATTGCCAATTTCTGATGAATTGCATTAATTTGGTTACAATACGATTCGGCATTGATGGTTTCTCCAGGATTACAGGAGAAGCTGTAGTGAATCAAACAAGCAGATAAAGCCCACCTAACAGTAAAAATCACCTTCTGTTGATGAGTATGGGGCTTGGAAAATGTACTGCTGCTTCTCCTGTATCGAGCCACTGTCATTTTAAAGTATCCACTTTTCATCACAAGTAACAATTCTGCACAGAAAAGGATCGTTTTTGTTTCGGCAAAGAGTTGAAGCACAAACTGCATAATGCTGGTTATTTTGGTGGTCATTTAATGAGTGTGAAACTCAATTTTTAAGCTTTTATACCTTTCCAATCGCCTTGTGGTGGTCATTGAAGTTCAATTTGCAAAGGTAAAGTTTCCATGCAAGTTTTTGAACAGTTGTTCCGGAGTTTTCTTCCATGTCCTTCTCTGTCTTCAAGGCTGAAGTGTTCCTTCCGAAATTTTTTAAACTACTATTGAACAGTGCATTCATCAAGAGGCTGCTTCAGACTTAATTGATGTTTCTGGCCATCTTGGCCCCATTCCGACCAAGTTTAATCTCGTAAAACAAAATCATGTTAGTAAAGACTGAATTATTTATAAGCAGCAAAATGCTACAAAGGTAAACAAACATTATCGTTTGGAAGAGGATTAATAAGTGTTGATATTCATACAAATGAATAATCCAGTAAACATAATGAGTTTGTTCAAAACTCAAAATTCTGCATTATTTTCCGGACAACCCAATAAGAATCTAAAATATTTTATATTATAGCTAATAATTTTAAAATCTAAATCATAACTCTTCTAGCTAAATACATAACTTACAAATTTTCAAATATATAACTTTAAATTGTCATTGATCGTTAATATGTTTTTCCTTCAATATAAATTTTTTAAGTAAATAAGATAAACTTAATAATTATCATAGGCAAAACCTTTTTATAATGTTTATGAACTTATTTACCAAGATAACTGCTTATGTTTATAGCCCTGGTGAAGCCCTACAACACTGGCTATAAATAAAGATTACACCAACATAATGAGTGATTGTTGACTGCACCTTCTCCCTCCTTACTAACAATTCCTGTAGCGTAAATGATTTGTTTTGATGTTTTCAGTCATGAATCCATGAGTTTTTATATTGGGATGCCCAATTTTTCCATGTTTCCATTCCTAAAAAAATAAATGAAGATGTCAGTAATAGTTAAGGAAAAGAAATCTTTACCTTATATTACCTTTATATAGTTAAGAATAAGCTAACCTATTTTATATTTAAGGAATAGTTGGCTGGATGAAAAGAGTACGATAAACAACCACACACTATATTAGTGTAATATTTATTTATAGCCTGAGTTTTGTTACAAAATAATTAAAATAACATCAATTGATATTTTAGTTTGTTTGTACTTTGTAGTTATTAATATTTTTTTTTTTATTATCCTGTTCTTTATAGCCCTGCAACACTGGCTATAAATAAATATTACACCAACATAATGAGTATTGTTGACTGCACCTTCTCACTCCTTACAAACAATTCCTGTAGCGTAAATGATAACTACTATCAATCATTTCCAAACCATATTTCGATGCAATTTTCACTTAGATGAGGTAAAATACAGCTGGTTAGTTGAAAAATTATATGCAGTAAATATGGAGTTATTTTAGCTATTAATTGTTAATAGTCACAGCAACACTCATATGACGACATAGGTTTCTATACTAATTCTTAATGATGTAATGTTTAAAGTTCTTACCAGTCTATCGTGGAGAAGTGTGGAATAGCCATTATTTTGTGGAAGATATCCTTTCATTGATATTTCCTATTACAACAGAATTCTGGATACTTGTCTATTATACGGGCCCCTGTGATATAATTCCAAATATGATTGAAATTTTAAACAAGATTAACTAGTTGGCCTTTGTGATTAATTAATCAAATAATTAGTTAGTAAACAAATGGCAATATACCTAGACCTGTCATAAATATTGTTACAAGGAAATATACACAGATTTCAAAAGAAAAATTAGTCCAATAGTAGAAAATAAAATGTATACCTATAGAGTAAAACAAAAAATAAATTACTCAAAATGTCCCCCTTTTGCCTTGACACAGGCATTTAATCTCTGTGGCCAGTCATCAATAGCAGCATGCAGCACTTCTTGAGGAAAGTGCTCAACTGCTGGGACCAGAAATTGCTTGAGGCTTCCAATTTAGGTTATGTTCTGTGGCATGGCATGCTATATTCTCCAGTTCTGACCAAAGCCGATAATCTAGTGGGTTGAGATCCTTCCTGAGGGCCAATCCGAGGCAGAGATGAACTCTGGAATGTTCTTTTGAAGCCACTGTTGGGTTGACCTGGCCTTGTGAGCTAGAGCGGAATCCTGCTGGAAAACTCAATGACTTCCAGCAAACAGAGTATCATTTAGAGGTTGACAACAGATCCCAAAATATCGTCCTGATAATTTTTAGCAGCTGTTTCAACTCCTCTTTCACAAAAATGGAGCTTTGTGATGCCATCAAAGCAAACTCCCCACTAAACCATCACTGAGGAAGGGATTATGTACCTCTTTCCACTCTTCCAATAACTTTCTGGGATTCTTTAGAGCTGTGTGCATACATACGATCAATTTGGCGATTCAATTTTTCTTCAATTATAAACATTTTTTTTATCGCTAAACAAAATCTTTTGAAGAGCAATTGGTGTAACAGCCATGGAGCACTTTGCATCTATCCATTCTAATTTTTTTTTAAGAAAGTGGTTAACTTTTGTTCTGTCATTCTTCAAAATGCACCCATCCTAAGGTCACTTTTTATAATATGAGATATTGATCTGACAAAGATTCTCATTTCCCGAAACATGATTTGTTGTTTTCGAATGGGATTTCTTCTGATTAAAGCAGCCACTGTTCTCACTGCATTTGCCATTCTTACAGTGCGGATTAGAGGTCTGTCACATACAGATAGGCTTTCATTATATCTATTTATATTGCGGTACACGAACATACGGCTGATAAACAAAGGTTTCAAAGTGTTGAAAATCTCTGAGCTACATTTTTCAACTTTCTGTAAGATCATAGCTATTCGATATCACCCCACTCCACATTAACTGAGTGAAAGAAAAATCCTGATAGAGGTAAGGATTATCTAAATAATACCCAAGGATGTAAACAAAGTTCAACTTCTGTAACAGTATTTATGGCAGAACTAGGTAATATGAAAACAAGTTAACGGAAAGTATTTATTTCAGAAAGGAATTAATTTTAATTAAAAATAACATCAAAATAGGAGTACAAAATGCTCTTATTTGATATTTTTCATTATGTAGGAAATTAAGATTTTAAATCATAATGGGTATAATCAAGCGTTAAGTATATATTAGTTAGCCTGTGTAAATAATTTGCTGTAGGAATTTGGTCAGTGATCAAATCAAAGGTCAGTGGGGTAAGACAAAATACTATTGATATATAATAACGCAACATATCATAAGATGGAGGAATCATTTCTTATTTACTCTGGGATTTTAATTGACCAAGGAAAAGAAAATGATTTAAAACCAGTAATAATAATAATAAGGCTTAGTGAATAGTTGTTTTAAGCTATATCTTTGTTAATATTTCATTAAATCCAATGATTGAGCCCTCACTATCATGACTTTCTACTCCTTCAGGTTTGAAAGAGTAAGAAGAGAAACTTTTTTGTGAAAAACTCAAAAAGTATAAGTTTAATTGTTTTTTGCACCTATTAAAATTTAATAAATACCCTACAAAACAAAAAATATCATTAAAATTGGACCATTAGGAAAGATACAGCTTATTGTAACTTTTAAACATGTAGGGGTAAATCATAAATGAAGTTTTAAAATCATTTTATTTTTATAGGTGGATTACAATCCCTGAGTAAATAAGAAATTATTCCTATATCTTATGATATGTTGCATTATTTTATAACCTTATTATTTTGTCTTTTGTCATATGCAAATTACTCACACGCACAGGCCAACTAGTGTATATACTAATACTAGTACTATTAGCGTATATACTAGTACTAGTAGCTTATATACTAGTACAAGTAGTGTATATACCAGTACTAGTAGCGTATATACTAGTTGGCCGGTGCGTGTGATCAATTTTGCTTATGAATCTGGTCAGTGAACAAGAGACAAAATAATAAGTATATAAAATAACGCAACATATCATAAGATATACGAATCATTTCTTATTTACCCTGGGATTGTAATCGACCAGGGAAAAGAAAACCATTTTAAAAATTCATTTATGATTTAAAAATTACAATAACCTATATCTTTCCTAATGGTTCAATTTTAATGACTTTTTTTGTTTTGTAGGGAATTTATTAACCTTGTGGTTGGTCGAACGTCATTCCCGGCAAGCTGATATTATGTCTGAATTAAAAATGTCGTGCAGGACAGTTGTAGACTGGTCTACTTTTTGTCGGGAGATTTGCCTTGAAGCCCTGATGGTGAGAGATGATAATATACTTGGAGGTGTAGGAATAGAAGTGGAAATACGATGAAGTGAAGTTAGGAAGAAGAAAATATGTCGGTCAGTTTATCGATGGCTCCTGGGTTTTTGGGGCTTTCGAAAGGGGTACTAAGAAATGTTTTTGTAAATGTCCCAGATAGGAAAGCGGATACCCTCATAAATATAATTCTTCAAAGAATTGAGTTGCTCCAGGCACTATCATCTTTTCGGATAGGTGGCGAGGGTACGACCCCCTGCAAAAAACAATAAAATTGATGATTTTTGAGTTTTTTTTGCAAATTAATGACCCATGGCTACCCGTGTAATAAATTAGTACCAAATTGTGCTAGGTAACCTGCCATGTGATTTCTCCTTACAAATCTAGGTATGCGATGATTATCAGATGCAACAAGTCCACAATGGTTAATGTCAGGTCATCTCCCGTTGAAAACCACATGCAAATTTATTTGCATGCAGTTGGTCGCACATCATCCCCAACAACAGTTTATCATGTTGCAGTTGAATATGTCTTAAGAGTGCAGTTATTGAATGGTCAAACTTTTCCCAGGAGATTTTTATTGATGCGCTAATATAGAGGTTGAGATTGATGAAGCTAAGCCTGGGAAGTGAAAATATCAACCAACATGAAAATATGTTGGTAAATAGATTGATGGTTCATGGGTTTTTGCAGCTTTTAAAAGAATTAGGAGATTCTTTTTTGATAACGTCCTTGATAGAAAGGCTGATAGGTTGCAAGGGTAGGAGCCCCTTATATTACAACACCTAGATTTGGAAAGAGAAAAATCATATGGCGGGTTATCCTGGAGGAATTCTGTTGAAAGAGAAAATAACAAAGTATCATTCATTCACTCTAAAACCTCTAACAACAATAAATTAAGTGATATAACTTTGAATTTGTTCTTAAAAAATTAAATATAGACACAACTGTTTCTGCCTCAGTGGCACTTATAACATCAAGAGTTTTTTAAAAATAATAATAGGTAATGAAGTGATGTTTCGAATTTTTACCTTCAAATACAGTGAATCTGAAATGAGACACATCTTAAGATCGAAGACATAGGGTAAAAAGAAGCCATTGACGACAGGTCTGTAACAACAATAAATGATGTGATATAATATTGAATTTGAACTAAAACAATTAAATAGAGATTGTTATCTGCCATAGCAGCACTCATATGAAAATGTCAATGTTATTAAAATTGTTAATGATGTAATAATGATGAATTTCTTACCTCATACACAAAATATTAAAGGCCACGTGAGTTCAAATTGGCATCAGTGAAAGGTGTCTGTAATAACAATAAATTAATTGACAGATAATATTGAAATGGTGCTTAATCAATAGAAACTATTGTAATCTACCATAGTGGCATTCATTTTCACCCTTAATTTTATTTATTATAATTAATAATGATGATAGAAATTCTTACCTATCTGTTACCATATGGGTCGTATTGCCTGGCAATTTCAATCAAAAATTCATGAAATCTTTCTTCTATTATAAATTTTCGTTTCCAACAGAATTCTGCCAGGTATCCACCCATATGGTATTCTTTTCTGCCAAAAGAGATGGCACATTGTTCCTCGTATCTCTCCATGTTCTTTCTGAATTTTGTGTATGAGCCCCTGTGTCTGGGTCCACAAAGTTATATTGATAATTGGCGGTCAGGTGTGTGTATTGGGGATGATTAATAAGGGGGTCGTACCCTCGCCACCTATCCGAAAAAATGGTAGTACGTGGAGCAATTCTTTGAAGAATAATACCTATTAGGGTATCCGCTTTCCTATCCGGAACATTAACAAAAAAACATTTCTTACTACTCCTTTCGAAAGCCCCGTAAACCCAGGATCCATCGATGTACCTACCGACATGAAATTTTCTCCTTCCTAGCTTTGCTTCATCGATTTCTACTTCTAATCCTACACCGCCAATTATGATATCACCTCTCGCTATCAGGGCTTCAAGGCAAATCTCCCGACAAAAATTGGACCAGTCTACAACTTTTGTGCACGACAATTTTAATTGAGACATTATTTCAGCTTGCCGGGGATGACGATAGGTCAACCAAATTTGAATAAATTTACATGTAGTCTTTAACGTGAGCCTTGATCCCTGCAGCCAAGTGTTCCGTTTCATAGAAATTGAAAAATTACACCTGACCATAATCCCATTAACTATTGTGGACTTATCACACCTGAAAATCATAAAGAAATTAAGTCAATTAATTAAATGAATCAATTGATGAAAGACATAATAATAATTAATGAAGCTATGTAGTGGTTTGGAAATGTAGATATTTTTTGCTAAACCATAACAGGACAATCTTTGTTGCTAGAATTATTAAGAAAGCACTGATTTGAACAAAATCAGGTATCCCAATTAAATTACTAATTTACACAGCATAAACCAAATAAGGCACTCTGTCATACAACACGGTATCTGGATTTTTTTGAGTTAAAGTTTTAGACAACACCAGATTGTTCAAGGCTGTTTAAATGGGTCATCCATAGAATCTCTAGGAAATTAGTTTCAATCTTTAATAGCAATGTTTGTATTAAGATAATGATAGTGCCTATAGGTTAAAGCATTGTATCAAACTTACATTAGCATAGATAAAATTTTGTTAGATATCATGTTTTGAAAGATTTAACAACTATTTAATTACTCAAGACTAATGTCTGTATTCCATACAGTGTGAGGAGAGATCTCGAATGGTCATCCCAAAAAGGCACTATAATAGAACTACTGTTAATCATTAAAATACAATCGTTATTGGAAAAGTAATATACCATTTTGAAAACAGTGAACATGTTTTAAAGATTAAAGATTCAATGAGTACAGTGAGGATGAGATGTTTTAAAACATCATCTGAAAGTAAATTTATAAGAACATATAACGAATTATTTAAGAGTAAAACATTGAGAACTATAAAATGATAGTAATTAACTTTCATAAATCATGTAATATTTAATTACCTGAACACTAATTTGTCGGGAACTTCCCGACAAAATTCCCTACAATGTGGACAGGTGTACATTCTTCTGATTACTCCATGTCTCCTCAATAATTCAAGATAATTGTTAGGATCTAGCCCATATTCCTCGCAAAGTTGATTA